TAATAGTCGATCATTTCTGTTTTATCATGTCAATTTTAATAAAATTTGCCAATTTGAAGTAAAATTATAACAGAAGAGAGGTTATCCAAATATGAGGTCATATTAATGACTGCACTCAGTGATCTTCAGTCAAGCTGACGAAGTGTTTCATGAAAGAGTTACTTTCTGTTGTGGTTCTAAATTGAATAAGTTTAAGCAGGTGCGTTTTCAAAAGTGCAAATTTAAAGCAAATTTCGCAAAATTTAGTTATTGATATGTAGAGATAGTCCATTAGGGTATGGTTATTCTCTTAAAAACAATTATGGTACAAATTTGGTACTTCTGACTATATAATGCTTTTTTATTCAAAAATCAACAATTATATTATTCTTATTTTGACTATCAAATGATTTTCATATATCCGAATAACCATTATATTAGTTTTTGGCAAAGTAAATAATAATAGGGATCACACAAGGATCAACTGTATTGAAGATTGGTCATACTGGTATATGCCCTGCCGCTCTAAGATCAAGAGCAATGAATTGTGATTTTTCAGTTGAAACAGGGAAACAAACACATTATCATTATTTTGTTTAACATTTAACAAATAATTATCTGTTAAACGTAGTAATTTTTCAAAACATCACTAAATATGAAAAAGTTGTAAATAAAGTGGATCCTTGTGGATCCATTATTATTTACTTTGACAAAAATGAATATAATGGTAAGTGTAATATATAGAAAACACTGAATAGGTAAAATAGGAATATAATTAAAAACAACCGTGACTTTTGCATTAAAATGGCATTTTAAGGTCAGAAATGTATAATTCTTCAATATTATTGTTTTTAATACAAATGACCACACCCAAATGGACTATCATACATATCAACATCAAATCTGCCTCCTATTTCATATACTCGCTGCCATTATTTGAAAAAAAAGATTTTTGTCAAACTCATCTTTTTGCCGGTTGCACCTTGGGGCAAGCCGTTTAGCCCTTTCGTGTCACTTTTTTGAGTGCAGACAAGTAAAAATGAATAGCCAATGAACTAATCTATAATGACTATGGGTCAAATCATAGTAACCTACCTCAACATCAGTTAATGGGATTTTCTGGAGTTTTGGCGCACACTAAATGGAACGGGTGGATTCGGTGCATGTTCATTGAAGACTCGCCATGATTTTCCATTAGTTGACACTCCCGGATGTGATTCAGGAACTTGCTTTATAAGGAAGGATCCTAACGGGTGTAAGTAAACAAGGTGTCTTGTCTCTGAATGAAATAATATTTTTCAACATTTTTCATTCTAAAAGGACTTTTACATTAGATTTTATAAAGGGCAATAAATATATACATACATTAGATAGAGCAGGCGAATTTTACACATTTGTAACGCCATCATATTTCCCGTTTAGATACATACCGAGGGTGCGCTGACCAGGTCAATTTGCCTTTGGACGTGGAAACTACCATTGGAAACTGTGCCTACCAAGGACATGGATCGTACAAGTCACTTTGGTACTTCTGTGGCACACACGAATGCAATAATGGACTTTTGGAGGAGAAATGCTTCAATTGTGTCTAAACGATTTAAATGCAATAGACGTTATGGAAAATGATGTGATTTTAATTGAACCATTGCATACTGGCACAACGATTGCAGACTTTTGGAGAAATTAGAAGAGAATTTTGCTTTTGTGTAATCATATTGAGCCAATAAAATACGTTTGTAGATTGAAAATATTAAAACATAGATTCCCATGTTTTGTCATTCGATCGAATTCAATGAAAAATCTTTGAAATGACACATTTATCGTAAGTATTTCTACACAAGATTTGCCCCATTTGTTCATCATTCTATAATCTTTCATTTAGCTCAAAATGATAAAGTTCACCCCCGAAACAACCCAAGATTGCGTTTTGGAGCGATGTGCAGGTTTAACTGCTGGTTAAATTGTGCAATGTTATGTAATCAGGATAGCGCATTTTTGCAATGTCGAGATAAAGACCCTAAAAACGTAATCGATAAGAAGTAAATTCTATGTTGTTACTGTAGGTCTATTGGGCATATTTTATAATGATTCAACTATTGTTATTTAAAGCAACGTCGACCTGTCTCTCTTCTGCTTGCATCTTTTTCTAACACGCCGTGACTTTGATAGATGTCAAGCTGGTACTGGCATGACTACTAGATTAGTAATACCAAGATAAATTGTGGCTTCAAATATTTGGATGGTGTTATTCGGCTTGGATGGTGTTAGTCGTAGCTGATATAGAAGGTAGCGCACTGAGGAGGCTGGGAACCCCCTACATCCCACTTCTATTGGGTACTGCACTGCATGCCACCCCCTTGTTATGGCCTCGTCTACCAGATCTTGGTATTTGGCTTTCTTAAGCTGATGGGATATTTCCAGTCGGTCTTCCCAGGGTACTATGAGCTCGATGATGATGATGCTCCTGCTGAGCTGTGATATCAGCAGCATGTCAGGACGGACCTTGGTAACTACTATATCCCGTGGGAAATGATTTCATATGATTTCAAATGAAAAAGTTATGGTTGTTATGGTAACGGTAGTTTGGGGTATGTGGAGCAGGGTCACAATTATGTTTTACAAATCTTTTTCCTGCTCTTATCATCTTAGCACTCCACCATCTGTTTCTTTAAAACATCAAATTATGTCCCACAACAACATATAAGGATTAGTACTATAACGTTATTTTATCAGTTCATATTACTACTATTATCCAATATTATGTTTTCCCCGCATTATCTATATGTTTGTGGTACATCTTGACCAGAGATTCAAAGACCAGACGATCGCTGCTGTCCATCTCTCAGATGGCAGATAATTGGCTTCTAGCAGCTGAGTCTCATGTGAATGCTAAACTTCTAACAGCACGGGCGTAGCCAGCTTTCAGTCAAAGGGGGAGGGGGGGGGGTGCGATCGCCAAATAAATTCGGGTTTCAGCCGGGGGGGGTGCGATCGTGACATTAGGGAGCCCAAAAAGATTTGTTTTGAATTTTACCAAAAGTGATGCAACTTCCTTCAAACTTGAGCTAGAAGCTTCAAATAAAAAGCACTTTAAATGCTCTTTTCATCGTAGTTTTATTGGTTATGGGGGGGGGGCGATCCCTTCGCACCCCCTGGCTACGCTTATGAACAGATATTGCTTTCAGATGCTCATCAAGGTAAAAGTCTAACAGTGATTCAGTAATCATTATAATAATTTATAAAGCTTTGCTTGTTCGTTCAACCGATGCAATTGACAATTGCGTACTTCCGTATCACCTTCTCATTGGTTAGCGTGTATGCCATATACCGCAGGTGAATCTGTCATACACTGCAAGTGAATATGCCATATTCGTTGCGGAATATGACATATTTTTGTATCGTGTTTACCGCGCAACATATATACCTGATTTAAAAAGCGGTTTATATGACAAGCATTATTTCCATGAATTGCAACATGCTTTTGATGATACAATGAATGGCATAGCCATAGGCTCTTTCATTTATCATAATTATAAGCAGGGTCATTATAATCTACCACGAGCCGTGAGATTTATTTTTTCTTTCATTCTATCTCATTTTCACATTGTTATCATTGATTATCAAAGAGTTGATTCATAGCATCATAAACCAAAACGAATCGAAGGACATTCAAAAGTACGCTAAATACACCTCGTGTCATCATGTCCTTTACTTGTTTTTTATTTAGTCAAAATGAAACATCTATACCGAATTTGACTTGAATGTAAATAAAGTCTGATGAACAATGCGTATATTTCATTTTTTTTATAAATCTAATCAATAAATTCTAGCGTAGACTGGGTAAAGGTTTGGTAATTTTTTTGTTTTATTTGGTATGTATGGAATATTTAATGTACCGAATAAAAAGCAGGTTAAACACCATAGCATGTAAGTAAACCAGAAGATGTGTATTGCCAGGCTTTCTTTGTGCAATCTTCACTGGACATGATACACTCATCAATTTCCCATAATTCCACATTGCGACATAATGAAACGAATTCTCTAAATCATGTTACTAAAATGCCGTCGAAGTCATGCATAACCCAGAAGCATGATTTGAACAATGCTTAGCTTTAGGTCACATATATTTTGGGACATCATAAGAAAAATGACATACCTTAAAATCATGTTATGTTAATTGTTGCCCTTTGCTTACAAAACTAACAAAATATTAAGATAAAAACATCCAGAATGAAAACTTATATTTCTCAAAAATAAATTGTTGACTTATGATTATTATTTCATTAAAATTAAGTATAACTATGAAGGATCAATAAATAAGCTGATCCAGTCAAGCATTAAATAAATTTTAGTATAACCAGTTATTTTAAAGGAATAAAATCTATGTGTTGAGTTACACTTCCCTCCAAAAGTTTGGCAACCTTAGTTCCCTCATTCAACTACGTGTTAAAGCCTTTTTATGTTTAAACTTTTATTTACATTATCCGTGAGATCATAAACAATTCGATTTTCAAAAATTCACCAGATTTATCATCAAATTTCAACCTATCGTAATCGGGGGAAAAATTGGGAAACTTTGGAGGCATTGGAAATGAAGTCAAGTTACATTTCCATCAATTTTATTAGAATTTTCCTTGCTGGTTATGTAAATAAAAATTCAAACATAAAGAGAGGCTTTAACACGTAGTCCAACACTTAAGTTAGAGCTATGGTTCGTTGCCAAACATTTGGAAGGGAATGTATTATGTATCATCAATTTGTTTGCACAATCTCCGAAAATAATAGGTGGCGCACAATGTAACATTGGTTACAATTGGTTAAAACGATACATGGAATATAAATCGTTTTAAAATTTAAACATTTCTTGGCACACATATCAAATGCTTGCTCTTGCTCCCATCCATACTTGACAACTCATTTCTCATTATTGAAAATTAAATGTATGTCAAAAAGTAAATTCTTTCGATCGTCATTTAGTATTTAAGTCCATGTTTAGACTGTGGTGTTACACTCCCTGTGAAGAGGAAACGATTTGCACATTCACAAAGGACCATAGAAGAATATAATGATGATCATGCTGATGAATTTTGTTGCAACAATGTGCTTGATTGCTGGAACACGAGGGTACAAAGATGACAAAGGTTTGTTCATTCATTTAGCACCTAATTTAAAAAATCAACAAACGACAGCGCTAGATACAAAATGAACGATACACATAGCCTTGAAAACTATAAAAAATATTCATCATATATTCTATGAGTCGATAAGATGAGCAAGATAAACGTATAGACATTCCGAAATTCCAAATTGAACTGATTAATGAAATCATTGTTTTTATTTTTAAATGGAAATTAAATTAGCTTTGTACCCGAATAAATGTTTTTATAAGATAGCGGCATAGTTAACGTACGTTAAATATCTAAATTATCATTTTTTGTTGAAAACCAGAATATAATTTGTTTGAAAACATTTCTTGTCACACCAATCGAATATTTGTTCTTGTTCGCGTCCACATTTGACAAAAACATTTAATCAAAAAATGTATGCCAACTTGGAAATTCCATCAATCACCATTTACCTTGAAATCCAATGATCGTGTTGTAATGTTACAGTTCCGCCTATGAAGAAAACTTATTCACAACGGACTTCCATAGAATACTTAATGACGATTATACTGATGAAATTTCTTTTGTTGAGCTGGAACTTGAGTAGTTTTTTTTTATTTAGCACTTTGATTAAAAAAGCAACGAAAAGGGAATTTTATAATACATTTATCATAATACTTTAATAATACTTTATCATCGAAATCGAAAATTACAATTATACTAATGCGTTAGATTAGATTAGGACGCTGATTTTAGATATGATAAACAAATTAAATAATCATTCCGAAATGCCATGTTAAACTGATCAACTGAATAATTCATTAATTCTTTAAAATCTCATTATGATGAGGAAAACCTTTAATCCGGAAAACTAAGGCTAATAGTAAGTTAAGTTACACGATTTCTGTAAAAATATACCGATACTGGGAGGGATTCAATATGGGTTTAATTTCGAGGGACAATATGAAGGCCAGAGAGAAATATCATATTGTCACGAGGAATAAACCCATTATTTAATCCCGACCAGTAAATAAGCTTTTTATCCTATGATATGCATGTCTCTCTTCATAAAATCATGAGTTCAATCAAAATCCATATCTAATTTTTGTATGAAACAAAACTAGAGTATATATCTAGTCTACAAAATATGACTTTAACTTCATGACATTTTGAAATACTGGTATAAGAAGGATTGGTATCGATTATATGGTGAACTGAATTCAACAATGTTTCTCTCTTAAACCAATTATTGAAAACATTCTATAAAAAACACGGTCTCCTATGTAATGTTTCACTGATTGACAACAATTGAATGCGAAAATTATTTATATATATTTTATATAAATGTTTTTTTTATTATTATTTTTTTTTTAGTACAATTGTTTTTGTTCCTTTCTACAAATTCTTGAGAATGAAATAAGATATCTTTCCGAACCTCGTTGGAACAAAATAGCATATACAATTTTTTTAGCCCTCTCAATATTATAGCTCTACAAAAGAAATTTTGGTTGATTTAAAAAAAGTATTCAAAAAATGTCATTTTGTTCCAATGAGGTCAAGATAGATGTTATGATACCAAGAACATATGAAACCAAGAACAAAAGAAGTGTGTGATGTTTTTTCTAAAACAATATAGAGAAACATATATTTTTTTCAAATTATATTGTTACCATTCAAAAGATGACCATTAAATTGACGATGTGTAAAAGCTTCAGAATTTTTTGATGACTGGTTTAAGAGAAACGTGTGTTCAAAAAGAAAAAGTTCACTATATCGATACAAATCCTTTATTGTATAACATAAACACATCAACAGCAAAATTAACCATACGTATTCATGTCCATCACAGGGCATTCGCATATTGAACAGATTTCTATGATGTTGACTGTCCGTGTCAGAGCATGATGACAATACAATTCGCCTATCATCACAATTTTCGTACTTCTTACGTTTCAAAATCTCTATATCGTTTCTCAAATAAGAACATCAATATAGCGCGCTATATCGACCCAACTGAACGTAATAGGAAGCTTTGTTTGGGAAAATTCGCGGGAGGTTAATACCATTTTTCCTTAGCGGGATTGGGAGGTGAACGTGAGGGGGACTGGGCGGGACAATACAATTTTTTCAATATCAAAAATATTACTGGGTGATATTAACCGGGAACTAGTAGTATCATGGAATAAATTAAAATTATATACGTACTCACCCTTCAAATGTAACCTGGGACACCATTCTTGGTCTTCGAAGTTGAAGTATTGGCGTAAACCTCAAGCCTCTGCTCATCACCTCGCTCGGTGTATTGTGTCTTCAAAACTATACAGTATTTGCGAATATAATTTTCTCCCTGAAACAAAATAAACTCAGTAGTGTTTAAGATACTGTACATGTTATACATGTAAGTATGAGTGCTATTCTCAACAAACACACAAAGCACAAAATGAAGGTTATATCAGACACCTCCGTAATTATAGGTATATAAGAATTTGCGATTGGCTAACCCTTGTCAACCTATCTATATCTTTCATATTGAAACGCGGTTTAAGCAATGGACCATGTTAACCATGACGGCTTTTACAATTTGGATATAATATAGACTCCAGAAATCCAAAAATATTTCGTCAAAGAAACATATTTTTTTATTACTTGGAACCATTAGTTTGGATATTGCTTTACTGATTGCTGTTTTTTAAAGCAAAGCGCTTGGAATGGAGGATTTCAGAAAGAGGCGATTTTCAAGAATTATTTAAGACCAATTTTAAAAGAAATACAATAGACACAATTATTTCACATGAAATAGATTATTAACAACCTCAAAGTGTCAGATAAAATTGTAATATAGGTTGTCAGACGTTGTCATCATCAGATAATAAACTCTATTTTTCAATTTTTTTTCTTTGACCTTCCCACTGATTATCATCATATTCTCCTTTTCTATCTTTGACCTTCCTACTAGCTATCATTACATTTTTCTGGTGGTTAAATTTCAAAAACAGTTTTTATATCAAGCATTTTATAAATAACAAGGTCAAACCTTGTGTTTTTCTGTTTAAAGAACTAAATGATTATGGTTAAAATTGTTTTGTTCGTGGAAAGCGAGAAAGTGTGTTTCTATGATTAGAGGAAAAACTCTTCTGATGTGTCTTATGTATAGATTTACATGACGCTATGCATTTCTAAAAATAAAAGCAGATTCCTTTGCAGATTTTATTGAAACAAAATTATTATGTACCAAAATTAAATGATTGGATTTTAATTAGGATATCTTGATAAAAGTCCCTGGGGGATTTGGCTGAATTTGTAAAATATAAATCGAGGATTGTTTACATTACTGTTTCAAATTACTGTAAACACTGGCGGTTCTGCAACAGGACATAACACGGTAGGTGCTGTTATCGGTGTATCAATATTGTAAAGGGCTTCCTTTGTCCCATTTATATCTGATTTGTACATTCCTATTGTGCAGATAAATGAAATGGATCTCATTTTACTGATTAACAATCATTGCATATTTCAATTTGCAGTTGATTGTTTCGACTGTAACTACTCGCTAAACGGAATGGGTGGATTTGGCGCATGTTCCTTGAAATCGCGCCATGTTTTCCCATTGGTCGACACTACCGAGTGTGATTCCAAAACTTGCTTTATAAGGAAGGATCCCAACGGATGTAAGTCTACACGATGCTTTAAGTATACATAATATTTTTTCAACATTTTTAGACGAATTCAAAAAAAAAAATACTAGGCGAATTTCACATTTTAATTTTTTTAACACCATCAAATATATTTCCTCTTTAGATATATACCGAGGTTGCGCTGATCAGGCCAATCTGCCTTTGGACGTGGACACGACTAGCGGAAAATGTACCTACCAGGGGTATGGTCCAAACAAATCACTGTGGTACTTCTGCAGCTCGCATGAATGCAATAATGGATTTTTGGAGGAGAGATGCTCAAATTGTGTTTAAACAATTTGAATGCAAAAGACGTTATCGAAAATTATAAACCATCGTATACTAGGATAACGATTGACTTTAAAGAAGCTAGACGAGAATTTTGCTTTTGTGTAATCATATTTAGCCAATAAAATAAGTTTGTATCTATTTATAATTTATATTGAACTTGGTGATACACCGCTGGATGCAAAGTTTTAGCTTAGCATGCACTATAAATAATATTCATGGTTCTGGTTGAGGTCGGAAATGCCGACTAAGCAATGAAAGGTCTCACCTTACCACTGGGAAATCTACATGAACATTTAATCCGACAATTTGAATGATTTCACAGAGATCTGAGCAAAAGGCGTTTGGTTAGTCCCTTGGCGTGTGTCATATTCATAGGATATCTTATAATTTTAAGGAATATCATTTTTATCTACGAGGTGATATTGATATCTCCACGAGAGAGCGAATCGAACGAGTGCATATATCAATATCACCGAGTAGAAGGATGTGATATTTTGAAGAAATCATAGGATGTTCTCATTATCCTACATAGCTTCCTAGAGTAGCAAGGATCCTCCTTGCTAGAGTAGTGTACTTTGGCGGGAAATCAACAATCGGAGTATACCGTCAAGATATCCTCCGCATATTTGTTTTCCGAAGTATATCGTGGCGATATCCTCCAGTTGTTCATTTTGCCAATATATAGGGTGTCTCAAAAAAATGTACCCAAAAGTATATCAACACCATAGACAAACCAATCAATATTTTCAGACATTTTTTGCATGGTCTTGTAGATAAAAGATGAAAGTTTTTTCCCCTATACACAGTTTTTAATTCAGTTTTGCCTTTTTGATACTAAACCTGTTACCGTTGACACCACATATTCAATGTAACCTCATATTTCGATGACAGTCTGTATCATTACTACTACATTATTCATCACATTTGATATTTCTGGTGGAATGTTTTGATTTCTGTTCGGATGCTGGTCTTAAGTTGTTCTAGGTCTCTTAGCTTGGGTTTAGCATAAAACTGGTCCTTCAAATAGCCTCAAAGAAAAAAGTATGGACCGTCAAATATGGTGAATAAGGGAGGGAGATATACAGAGAGGTCAGAGGTTCAAGAAACTGCATTGGTTGCGATTCTAATGTAGCTTTTGTTGTGTGTATCAATTTGAGACCACTGTGTTTTCATTTGGATATCATTTGGTCTCTAGGCTAGCCTGCCTAACTCTGGAAGGTAACTCCTGAATCATTTGCCGATAATTGACCTGATTATCTGTGTTTGTTCTGCCATTGTCGTCCTCAAACATCTTTCTCTGTGGCTATTTGAAGGAGTGGTTTAATGCTCATTCCAAGCAAAAAGACCTAGAACAACTTAAGGACAACATCCAAAGAGAAATCCAAAACATTCCACCAGAATTATTATCAAATGTAATGAACAATGAATCAGTAAGGATACAGGCTGTCATCGAAAAATGAGGTTACATCGATTATGTGGTGTAAAGGGTAAAGGGTTAAAGCATCAAAAAGACATGACTGAAATAAAAATGGTGTATTGGGGAGAAAACTTTCAAGTTTTGGCTACATGACCATGCAAAAGATGTCTGAAAATATTGATTGGTTTATCTGTGCTCTTGATATACTTTTGGGTACATTTTTTGAGACACCCTGTATATCAATTTTATCTTTTCATGTTATTACAATTTAACAATGTTATTACAATTTAGTACAGTAAGTGTAAGATAATTTTGAATCATTTAATGTTGATGTTTGATGTCATACAATAAAGTTTTTATATTTCCTGCTAAGAGCCTCATGGGCCATAGTCCAATTAACATTTTCATTTCAAATTTCCTTTTCTTGGAAGTTTTGAGCCAAATAATAGCAGTTGTAGTCATTTCCCATGAGGCTAATAGGGAACTCCACTATTAAATGGCCAAATTCAATTCAATTTGAGAAGAGATAAGTGTACCTATGTACCATTTATGAGCCTATTTATTCTAGACAAACACTTTATGATCAACTAAAACATGCAACAAATCAAGAAACTACAAATGGGTCTTTGACCTTTATTTATTACAGTCCGAGCAGATATTTCCTGACGAAAATGCCCATATTATGAAACACCAAGTGTATATTTAATTACAAGTATAAGTATTATACAGAGTTGTCCAAAAATTGAACCCCTGCAACGGGCCATATTTCCCTTATTACTTGCAGGAATTATTTCATATTTTCACATGTTGTAGAGGAAGGTCTAAAATGTATGTTGGTACCATACATTTTTCTTAGTCTTGAAAGGAGCACGTAGGTTATCGCAAACAATTTCAAACGATTCTAACTTGAATTATGAATATTTTCTGATCATGAACATGGGTGTATCTTTTAGATCCATTCATTATCTTCAAGAAAAGTATATATAATGATAATTTAGTTAATCAGACCTAAGTGATATTGAAGGGGCAATGGACCAATCAACACACTTTTTCAAAAATGTTGACCTAGTTTTCACCAAAAATGCAACCCATTATTATATTGTTGAATGCATAGTTAGAATGTGCTTTGAGACATGTTCGATTTCCTAAAAGGAAAATTTGATTGCTCCAGGGACTTTAAAGATATTCAATTTGGATGACCAAAATGAACTGAAACCAATGGATAGCATGAGATTTTTCAATGGAGAAATAACATGGGGAACACTTATCTTAATGCAATTAAGTTTTTCTTTCAAGAACTATTTGATACATCAAAATAAAGAATAGTAATGCATTAAACATTGTAAAAAATGATTGCATTTTTGGTGAAAATGGGGTCAACATCTTCAAAATGGGGTCAAAAAGTGTGTTGATGGGTTAATTGCTAGTTAAATATCTCCGAGTATGTTTGAATTTATTATTACTGTGCATAATTTTCTTAGAGATAATGAATTGATCTTAAAGATAAACTTGTATTCATTGTCAGAAAATAGTCATAATCCAAGATATAACCTTCTGAAATTGTTTGCGATAACCCACGTGCTCCTTTGCAGAAATTATAAACCCTAACCAAATATTACTGAAAATGGATAAAATGTGATTTTTAATATCCGCGATTCTTCAACCCTTCAACACCCTTCCCCTGACATTTTTTAAGCTGCAGTCTTAAAGAACTAATTGTTCAATTTTGAATCCTGCACATTATGGCTTAAAACTAGCATCCTACCTTTGATAGTTATTGTGATCCAAAGAAATGTTCTAAGCTTCCATAGACGAAAACATTTTCCAGTGAAATCGCGATTATACCCCAATATGATCTTGTAATGTCAATATCATGGACCAATTCTAATGAGATATGGCTCAAAATTGAATATAGGATTTTCTTTTGATTTTCTAAAGATATTTGATGAAGAGTTTCTCAGATTCCCGATCACAGGGGGCAACATCCTTCCACAAGAGCCCCCCCCCCCTCTGTAAGTAACATACCCCTGAGCTGTTGAATGGTTAAAACTGCTTCAAAATGATCAATGAAAGTGTGAAATGTGTTTTTTGCTTAAATATTGTCCCTTTTGTCATAGGGTTTTAAACTTGGATCTGTAACTGAAAGCTGTTTTAAGATCATCAAATGTGTTTCAACGATTACCGTGAATCACATTGGCAAAATTTTGCACAATACTTATTTTCATGTTTGTTAAACTCTTGTAATTTCTTCAAAATTTAAGACTGATAATAAATTATGGCATCAACCACAATTTTAGACTTTTCTCTACAACATAATAAAATATGAGCCTATTCATGCAAGTATTAAGGAAAATATAGCCTGTTGCAGGGGTTCACTTTTTTGGACCACCCTTTATGTTTAAAGGTGTACTTTCACGTATGCGCGAAATCTCTCTAGTAGATTATCCTACACTTACAATAGGACGGCACATTGAAAAAAAAACATTGTTGTTTTAAACTTTATATGAAAGTGGTGTATACCAATATACGAGGGGTGATCAGGAATTCCTGGACCGTTGGCTCTATTTTTGCCATTTTTATTCTTTCTAACACCCCAGTCACATTTGTCGCACGGCGGCAGTACGTCGACCGTAGTTCAATTTAATCACTACGCTCGCCTTGCGGCCTCCGTACGGCGTATCCAGTTTTTTACAGGCCGCAGGGTCGCCGTAGAAATTATAACTCGGAGTTATAATATTTGTTCATTTCTGAGGTCCTCGTAGAAATCAACAAGATTGACTCATTATTTGTCAATGTTTCACGATCACTTTTCACTTGATATTACATCCTAGCACTATGAATAACATTTATAAATTGTCCCGATGTAAATAAAATTAAAAAAGGATCATTTATCAACAGAAATTTAAAATTCACCGTGCGGCTGCCGTGGGAAATGTGACTGCAAAAGTATCGGAGCACTGAAATTCTACGGCGAGCGTAGAAAAGCTACTGACCGCAGAAATGATAGACCTCACGACGGCCATGGGAAATGTGACTGGGGTGTTAGTGATTTTTTCACATAATATAATATGTCCTTACATCATCTAAAATAACTAGATTTTTCAAATTTGGTATTTTTCTGAGCTCCACCGTATTGCGTCACCGGTCACCATGGTAACAAAGTTAATAGGATAATGAGGTCATAGAACAATGAATTATTAAGCTTCTTGGTGTGATCCTATATATTAGGGTAATATTATGTGAGAAAATCACTAGGAAAATGACAAAAATAGAGCCAACGGTCCAGAAATTCCTGATCACCCCTCGTATGACGTCATCGAACTACTTGTTTCTGGTCCGTTGACTACCATCTTTATGAGGTCCATTGAAATGGTAAACATTTAAACATTTGAAAATGAAAGTGATGGATAGTTTTACCTTTACACATAATTATCTTTATGATAACTGCTCGATTTCTTTCATGTAAACTGCAATTTTAGACCCGACGCGTATTATAGAAATATTGTCAATGTATTTTAGGCCCACTGATTTTTAGGATAAATCAAACGAGAGGTCACGTGTGCGTAGAAGCGTGTCAGTATTTCAATTTGAAGAAATGAATAAAAGTTTTGACATTTATATTATTTGTGAAGCACCACCTTTACATAGAATTATTCTTATAATTTTTGCT